AAGGTTTTGTCATCATCATTTGCTGTTATATTAAAGTTTTTCTTCATTACCCATTCAAGCCGTCTTCAGAACCTTAAGTTAATTCACGATGTCTTTTGTTAAATTTACCATAAAATAACTGTTTTAATCTGTATTTTAAGTGTTTTTACTGTTATTCTACGAGGAATTACACTTACATTAACGGTTATTTCACATAAAATAATTTATTTACCATGTATTTTAATTGTTTGTTTTAGTGTCATTCCACAAAGAAATACTTTTAAATTAACATATAATCACATTACATATATTTCTATGCATGCATTTCTAGTGATTTTTTACAGTCATTCTACAAAGAAATACTTGTAAATTAAAGGTTAATTCACTTAAAACGATTGTTTTACCATGTATTTCAATTCTTTTTAGTGTAATTTCATAAAGAAACACTTTTTTAAATTAATGTTTAGTCAACATAAAACGATGGTTTTATTATATATTTCAAGCTTGTTGTTTTTTACAGTTCCACATAGAAACAGTTTAAATGGTTTATCCACATAAAATAGCTTTATTCGTTATTTGTTTAAGCGTTGTCAGAATATCTCTATGATTTATACAAACGTCAATTGTTTTAGTGAATTCCTGCTTTCAGACTGACAAATCACGTAAAAAAGTTGCTTTACTTTTATGAAACGCACAAGACCTACATAAGTTTTGAAGTCTGAAAGGATGCCTTACAATACCTATAGATAAACAACTTGAATTGTGTATGCCTAGTTTTTAATTGATAAATATTATGCATGTATAAAATATAGGATGGAGTATCGTAATTCACCGATAATTTAAATAAATATTGTCTTTTTGTTGTCAAATTATTTTTTCTAAACATTTTCATATTACATTCAATGGATATTACAGTGTTTTGAAAAATGGTTCTATACATTAAAAACCTTACGGATAATTACACTAACATTAGCATGTATAACATTGAAAAACGACGGTTAACTGCGTTTATTTTTACGGGGTTTGTTTACAATGTAGAGGGAAGGCAGCTGGTCAGCGCCACCCACTACCAACTCTTGGGATACTCTTTAACAAGAAATACTAGGATTATACGTAACATTATAACGCTCCACGGCTGAAAGAGCGAGGATGCTTGGGGTTGGGTTTCGATACCGACACTAGAAGATTGCGAATCAAGCGCCCTAACCATCAGACCATGCTAATAACCAGAATTTTATCTAAGTCACATAAGTTTGCATTTTAGGAAGAAAAATATTCTATTACTGAATAACACGAAACGTAAGAAAATATATCAGTCAAAGCGAATACAGTTTCACACAATATGACTGTCTGATTTCAGGATTACACCAGCTCGATCTAAAATTAAAAGTGTGGGTAACTGACGTCATTCTAAATCAAATTAATGGCTTGATCAATAAAAGACGTTCCACTGTTTTACAGTTTCCAAGTATTTTAAAGTTGTGATTACATTGTTACTATTTTAACTCGCTTGTTCTCCACCCAAATCAGGAAACGAAACGAACGAACGTTGGCGCGTATGTTCTCTAGGAAGTGTTGGAAAAGTTAGCAAATAACCCTTTATTTAACTATTCCTTTCAATTTTTAACCAAACAAATCGTGAAGGTATTTCGGAGCATAAAAGGGTAATCTGCTGGGTTCTGCAAGCGGGCGAATCAATGGTAAGAAGAAACCTGGCCTATACAACTATTGTCTACATTTGTATAATACCAGGCGATGTAGTTACATGCATATAGTGATGGACTGTTTATGTAAATCTAAGTACACCGATGAAGTATTGTCAATAATATACCAGAATATCTTAATGCAGTGCAACGTTTCTTTGACATTACAATATATTGTACATTATGTTTTCATTTGATTAAAAATAAGAAGCAACGCAAATGAAAGACAACAACGCTTGATTTCTAGCTATATAAAGATGAATCAAGTAACAAATAGTAAGCATGACCAGAAAGAAACAAAACATAACAGAGTCTCCTGTATCGTTTCAGATTTGCTTGACAAAGTCCAAGTTTTCTGACAGTTTCAGAGAGGTTTCTCTCGAGCTTTAGCACTACCAATACGTGCACACAAACATACTACTTACAACATATCTGCATTTCCAGTTGTCCTTACTTGTTAAGCTTAATTTGAAATCTTTAAATTATAATTAAAAAGAAGAAAAGGTATTTCAGTTTGTAGGTAGATTTTTCAATTATCGTCTTTTTTTGTCATTGTTTCTATCTAACTTGACCTTATACAAAGGCATATCTATATTGTATATAGGTTACTATATGGTGAAGTAAAACGGACACAAAACCACATACAAATTACCTACATGTATATTGTTTCAATGGATGTATCGGCAGAGTAGACATAGTTTATTCTTAGTATTCACCTGATCAAAAAATGCCACGATTTAAGGATAAAATGGTAACACTAAAAAAATGATCCTCTCTCCAGTATATAGATCAGACAAGGTTAATAATATAACTTGATAACGAAGGAAATTTCAGATTTTATGGTACTCATATCTCTAGAGAACTACTGGTTTCTTTTTTTTTACAGTTATGTGCAGGTTCACAAATATACTAATGATTTTAATTTGCATTTTCCCGGCTAATATAATATGCATATTTATTCTTATGTCTTCCGATCATGCTGATTGATGCTCTGTAAAACTATATTTGCTAATCTATTCGGGATACATTAACAAAAAGAAACTGCAGATATCATGTTGTTTATCACAGTATAATTTTAAGCTCCCTCCCCAGTGGCACAGCGGTATGCCGCGGACTTACAACGCTAGAATCCGTGTTTCGATACCCGTGGTGGGTATAGCACAGATAGCCCGTTGTGTAGCTTGTGCTTAACTTCAAAAACAAGAAAATCGCAAAAGTAATACTTAAAATTAGTTATTGAGATTATAGATGTAAACATTTTCGCCAATCACTTATTAACATATAACAAAATTCAACATGTAGCAACATCAACAATAAACAAACGAACAAATAAGTAAAAAGTATTGGAAAACATAACTATTATATTTGCAAGACACATAGGAAACCCTTTTATTTGTTTGTTTTTTAATTTCGCGCAAAACTACACGATGGCTATCTACGCTAGCCATCCCTAATTTAGCAGTGAAAGACTAGAATGAAGGCAGATAGTCATCACCACCCACCGCCAACTCTTGGGCTACTTTTTTACCAAATAATAGTGGGATTAGCCGTAACATTATAACGCCCCCATGGCTGAAAAGCGAGAATGTTTGGTGGATCGGAGAGTCAAGAGCCCTAACCACCTGGCGGAAACCCTTTTATTTAGAAGAAGAAGAGATTGCAATGGCTAAAGATATGAAGCAAGAGATGGAGCCACGAGTTTGGTTTCAACCATAAACAGCCATTGCAGACATAATTGATTGACAGGTAGAGCTAAACTACTAGGGGAATTTCATGTACTGACAAGTTATAAGTTTTTTTTTCAGTTAAAATTAATTCCGTAATTTTTGTTACTGCCATAGATAGTGCCAATGTTCAGAGAACAGAAACAATGCTCTTTCATGTTAATTCCCCAAGGTTTTTTCTTTCATAAAAACATTTTTAAAACAAATTACAGTAAATTACATTATAATATGTATATTTCAAGTAAACTATGTATCCTTAAATTCCTTTTTTCATTTACTTATTTATAAAAAGCTAACAAGTCTCCAAGCGTTTTGTAAAGTTTTATAACTTAACTACCTTTTTTATAGCATGCGAAAACGGTAGTTGAATCGGAGCAACGAGGTTATTCCCCCTACTTATTGGCAATTTCCGACCTACCAAAATCAATACATCCTATTTAACAGTAATAAATTTTTTAGATAAGTGAAAGAAGTAATAAGCCTCTTAATGATCCCTGGATAACGATATATGGCGTTGTTAAGGTAATATATTGGAACTGGAAGAGTTAGGATCGTTAATTCGACGCCAAGTTTATTTATAGATATTAGCGTCATTAACTAGTGGCATATTTGTTTGTTTCGAACCTAACTGCCATGTTTAAATGATTTAATTTGGAGTAACATTTTTACAATCGGGAAGAACTATTGAAATATTTAGCGTTGTAAAATTTATTCTGCACAATATAAGTAGGGCAATAAAAGGATATAAGGCAATGGATGACAGTGTACTCCCATAACTGCTTACATGTAAATTTAAACATTTGGAAACGTTCACAAATTTAGGTTGAAATATTCAACACCGAATCTTCCTTCATGCACATTTGTTCCTGTAGATGTCATAATGATAAGGTATCTCGCTTTCGAATAGATGCGAGCAAATTTAAACAGACGTACTCTATAAGCTTATCGGCGTATTAAGCTAAAACTCGTAAAACATTTGCTTGAAACATTTTATATCAAACACAAGTAATTATCTTGAATATCCTGAACATAAATTAAACTCTTTATTTAAGCTTAATTTGTTTTTTTTTATTTTACTGACAATGAGAAACTTGATCGAATTACTGCTGGTTCAGTATGGATTATCATTGGAGCAAGATACCTGTTTAATAGACACGTATTTACAAGTTAAGTAATCTAGAATTTATCAATTTCAACTTGAGCAGCATCTTATGCGACATTGTTACGCGACACATGAGCTAAAGAGCCAGATAAGCAGCACCATCTTCCTATACGGTTACTCTTAACATAATAGCGGAATTGACTGTCACTTTTACAGCACGCACACAGCTGAAATTGTGGAGCATGTTCAGTGCCATATCATGGGCTCAAACCTTAAACCTTCTGATAAACAGTCTGGCAGGTTAACCAGGAATGAAGAATATATTAAGCTATGATAATCCATGTTTTATGAAGACGTTGAATAATAAAGCAAATGGTATGATAAGACAATTTGTAAAATAAATGAATTTGTAAAAACTAATAAATAAAGGGAAAGCGGCGTTCTAACACCCACCATCCATGATAAGGGTTTGACTGGATTCGAGTTGGGCTCGCTAGCTCTGAAATCTAGAACTCTGATATATCACCAACTTGTGCCGTTGTTAAACTAAACAACAGACGTTGTTCATATTCATATTAATTTCCATCTTTTATCTAAGAATAACATCGCAAATCGCAATATTTTATCTGACTTTATAGGTAGAGTTGTCTCGCAAACTTAAAGTGTTATAATTCAACACCAAACGTTCCACGTAGGGTTACTAAAGACAACCATTCAACGTAGCAAGTCGAAATAAAGTATTTAATATTATGTTGTACTTTTGTTTATTTGTTAGTTTGTTTTGGATATTCGCGCAACATGGGCTAATATACTAGAGGGAAGGTAGTTACTAAACATCATCTATCGCCAATACTTAGCTAATCTAATCGAATAGTGAGATTTGACAATCACTTTTATGTTGCAACTACGGCCCCAAAATGAGGGCCGAGACTTTGCGGCAAAGTTTCATAAACCATGGACCCTCGGATCCACAGTCCGATATGGCAGTTATTAGGTCACTCCCTACTCTGTACTTATATAATTCAAAGAAAGCTTTGTATTCTCGTATGTTTAATATTGTACTTTGACACAAGTTTAATTCTGCATTTAAGAAGAGCACGTAGCTCCGTCGAAAAAATGGAAAGAGAGAGAACTTTTTGGCAAGAGCAATTAATCAGGTTTAATAGAAGTTTGTTTGTTTTTGAAGTTAAGCACAAAGCTACACAAGGGGCTATCTGTTCTCTGCCCACCACGGGTATCGAAACCCGGTTTCTAGCGTTGTAAGTCCGCAGACATACCGCTGTGGCACTGGAGGGCTTTAGTAGAAGAAATTCATATTATTTTGTTTATCGGAAGCCTTAAGTGTAAATTTATGTTTTTGTGAATAATTTGACTCATTCAAAGAAACACTGTGTGGAAATAAAGCCGATGTAACACAAATGTTAGAAACGATGTGTTCTGTATTATGGTTTTCTGATATCTATAACGTATGTACAATGTTCAACTTCAAATAAATTTAAAGATTACAAATTTTCCCCAATTGTTTTCTCTGTCTTTTTAATCTAATTTCAAACGTTTCGTTATTAATATTATTTAACTTTCATCAAGTTTCTCACATCCAGGCGATTGAACACCATCCAATGAAACTATCGGTAGTGAACAAGTTATACAAACAATTTGAAACGCTTAATACTAAAATCATGCAAACGATGCATTTTTACCTTGAATGTACACAAACAAAAAAGGTAGACGTACCAACAATATGAAATTCTTCGTATCAAAGCTCATACATATTTTCTTTTAGTGTCCGTAAATATATGCCCCCCAGTGGCACGGCGGTATGTCTGCGGACTTACGACGCTAGAAACCAGGTTTCGATACCCGTGGTGGGCAGAGCACAGATAGCCCATTGTGTAGCTTTGTGCTTAATTTCAAACAAACCAAACCGTAAATATATATAGACAATGAAATTTAACACAGAACTCCAAATGCAAATTTTACTTTTCTTTTGAATGTCCCTAAACAATATTTTTCTGCTCTTTCATGATATATTGATTAAACACACAGTCGATACCCTAACTACAGGACTAAATCTATTTTCATCAGTTAAAGTAGAACTGGGAATTTTTAGTCTTTGGGGTAGAATAAGATAACGTTGATCAAGTGCGTTAATTAATGGTTTGAAAGAGTCTTTTAACTTAAATTGGTATTTTTGTTTTCATTACATGAGTGAATCAACGACAGCTGAAACCTTACGTGGCACTGCTGCAAACAGGCGACTTAAACAGAAAGGCTTATAACTAAAAGTACCAACCTCTCAAGTTTTGTTGTACAGAACATACAAAAGAAATTAGAAGTAGTCTGTAATTCTCACAGGTTTATAGGTTATGAGCTCCAACTTCAACATCAATCTGCTTCGTGTTAATATATTTCTACTAAATTGTCTTTATTTTTCCCAGTACAATGCATGAATAAACCATCACAAAGGTCATCTTCACAGACTTGAATAATTACCAAAGATTATCACAAAGGTCATCTTCACAGACTTGAATAATTACCGAAGACTGTCAAAAAGTTCATATTCACAGACTGGAATATTTAAAAAAGATTATCACAAGGGTCATCTTCATAGACTTGAATACTTACCAAAGATTATCACAAGGGTCATCTTCATGGACTTGAATAGTTATCAAAGACTATCACAAAGGTCATCTTCATGGACTTGAATACTTACCAAAGACTATCACAAGGGTCATCTTCATGGACTTGAATACTTATCAAAGACTATCACAAAGGTCATCTTCATGGACTTGAATACTTACCAAAGACTATCACAAAGGTCATCTTCATGGACTTGAATACTTATCAAAGACTATCACAAAGGTCATCTTCATGGACTTGAATACTTACCAAAGACTATCACAAGGGTCATCTTCACAGATTTTATTTTTGCTTTTGGGATTATTCCTCTTGAACTCGCTCTTCTACTGTCTATATCACTGTCAATGGAAGCGTTTTGTCGTACGGTGCTTCCTGCTTTGGGAGTGTAATAACAGTAGGCTTTACTTTGGCTAGTAAGTTACAGAGCAATAACTTTTGTTCAATTATTGTACTAAATATAGTAAAACTGGGTAGTTTTTGAATTATTGCTATTACATTTGTCGATTTAGTACTGTTTTCGGACTCCACCTGAGATGAAGTACAAAATATTGTCCGAAATTACTGGGAAAATATATGTACAAAAAATGCACGTCGCAAAAATTTGTAACAGAGAAATGGTTATGAAATATGCTTTATGTTTACACTACGTGTCCAACAATATTTTATTGTATATATTATAAAACTAATAAGATGAAATTTGCAAGATTGTTTCTAGAAATTCGACGTTGAAAAGAATATACAGGTGTTCTAATTCTGTTTTTAATTACAAACAAAAGCTTATCGAGTTCAAGGGTTTAACAGAAAGTTCTACTTACGTTTTGAAAGAATGGAATTATTCTGAATCTTTGGATAACCCATGGCTTTGCTTTTGTTCCAGATAGTGTACACAATCACACTGTAACAAGTAGAAATAATCAGGGCTGGGAAGAAGAATAAAGACAGCGCTACAAGCATCAAGTAGGCCTTCCATTGCCACGGACTGAGGTCAATCCAGCACTGTACTCGACCTTTGATTACCAAGTCTTCGTTTAGAAATATGGCTGGGATGGAGGCTAGTGTACTGACTCCCCATGCAGATACTACCAGGATCCTAGCTCGCTTCCCTGTTAGGAAAATGTATATACAAAAATTACAGATTAGTGTTAACAATCACTTAAAGCTGTAAACAACAAAAAACATTAATTCGTGCTGGGGACTAGCTTCAGTGATTTAAGAAAGTACAATTCTGCATACACGTTGTATGACATGTTCTCAGCATAAAATGGCTTAAAATTGACAAGTTCGAATAATTTTTACCCATATGTCACAAACATCAACCGTTCATGGTGGAAAAAGCCGATATAGCAGCAGAGATAAAAAACTATGTAATACATAACATTAAGAGTAACATATTAGTAAGCTCGATCATCTAAAATCATTACTACTTATCTGTTGGCAATATAAGTAGCAACAGATGTTGATCTCAGCGCCAATAGTAGATTTTATTAACTCTTTTTTGCACTTTGCCCAACAAATCTTAACATTCGTGCTAACAAAATATGTAATTAAAACAAAAATACCTAAAACTTCTCATAATGTGCTATCTTTTAATTTGAGATAATACACCTTGTTTAGGTAAATTATATTACGTAATCTAAAAGAGAAAAGGTAGAAAATTTGAAGAAAAAATAATAATATATTGTGGAGTTTTTTATTGTTTACTGAAAATGAGATCTTGAATACAATATAAAAAACACTATGTATAATTTGTTGAAGGGTATGTTTTACTGAATAATTGGCTCACTTAAACAAGGGTTACAATGGATGATTAATAATAGCTCTAACTTACAAAACAAGTCAACTAAAATTTAAATAATTAAATTTCTTAATAGAAGAATACCAGCCAGAATGTTCTCTGTTATCTAGAATATTTATTCTAAAATAGGCAAGTTCCAGTCACTCACTTAGGATATTCAAAGCTCAGGAAACATTTCCTTGGTAAAAAAAAATAATATTCACAATTTATAAATTACTGTCTATTTGGTGCAAAGAAATCTGGTATATATCTCTTAGAAGCAGGTTAATATTTTTTTTTGTATAACTACTTTTGTGGCACCTTGCCAATTAAAGGTGTAGATCTTTGTAAACTATGACGCTACAAAAAAAAAACTTACAACTTCCTCGAAACTTCATTGGGTGGGTAATTGCGTTATAACGATCTATGCTTAGAGCGACCAACATATACGTTGAGGAATAGGTTACCATTACCTGGAAAGAAAATAATATATTTTTTAAACAAGTCTATCGTCTTCATATAAACATGCTAATCTGCAAGTACAACGCCAAGTGAGCGACATAACCTGTTTCTCTGTCCTTAAACAGAAATATTTGAAACCGTAAGGGAAACTATTCTATAAATCTTTTCAATTATTAGAAGTAGAAACTATGAATAGTATCCTATAATGTTTAACAGCATTCAAATCTCTTAAAATCAAGACAAGACACACAATAGTGTGTAGTGCAGCCAAAACAACTTGGTGCAGGACCATTGTGTGTTATTAACAGGAGTGATAGTTTAGCGATTTTCCACCTTCTGTTTCTCTGACTGTGGTAATTCAATCTGTCGTATATTTTCAGTGGATGTGCTCTACTGGATCCTTACTTCAGATCCAAATTTTAAGGCAATCTGTTATAAAATATCTGAGATATAACATCTCCAATTTTGATTTTCTTCCTATTATTTTTTCTTCTCACCAAAAGTACGGAAACTTTATCTGATGAAAAATATATTTAACTTTTATGGATTTTTGTCAAATTTGGTACACTGAGACATCTTTTCAACCTACAATCAGGAGACTCATTTTTTATAAATATAAGCCACATGTGCAAAGGTTTTGCTCATGCCTATGCAAAAAGTCTCGTGAGCTATCGGTCTAACATTTTTACTACAGCTTCACCTAAGATTAAAAGTGGACCGTTTTTAGTTTTTGTCTATTCGGATTAAAGACGGCTGATTTACAGAAGCAAAACTATAAGGTGAAAGGACGTGCAGATACATAAGTATTGGTTGGACCAAGTAAGCTAGATTAGCAGTTTCTAGCTCAAGTTTTTCAAACGAATCATATGGGTGGGCGGTTATTATTGACTATTCATTACCAACCTTTCAGACATGTTAGCTTAAGTAATTAACGTAAATAATGATGCTTGATATGGCTGTACCGAGTGCATGCTGGTGATGACAAGAAACTTTTAATCTATATTCCTTGGCGTTACTATAAAAGAAGTTATTAACACTGTTTTAGAGAGGAAAACTACCACCATATATTTTAAAGAATCAGGTTTGTTATATAAGGTAAAGGTTTGTTCCGAATAATAGGGATGCGATCATAAGGCTAATTTTGGTTGCTATCGAGTGTCACTTTCATATTTGATGTGTTTTGTTAGAGTGTATAGACAAAAAGTCATGATATCTATTCAAAAACACCTTAGGTGTGAAAATAAAGGTGTGGCCAAAAAGGGTTTCTCGAGCGACTAAAAGGAATGAAATAAAAATTGGCGGCCAAACTGGTAGCTATAATTATAGCATTGAAAAGAATTTTACAGCAAATATACATTCATTAGTTAGTTCATGAACTGTTTATTCATCCTGTTGAACAGGTAGTTCAAAGATGGAAAATATAAAGTATGAAAATGAGTATCAAACATGAGAAAAATATTATTTTCTTCTTCAGAGCGCTAAAAATTAAACATATAGCAAGGAGACGTTTCATTTGAACTTATTAATATACTTCTTATTAACATACTTTAAACAAAGATGATGTTAAGAGATGTTATCAAGGATTCACAGATTTTTGATATATCATAAAATACAATGATAAAGTAAAGAGAAAAACTGACACCTCTAAAATATAATTATAAAAACTGATATCTCATAAGGTTTTATAAAATATCAAAAGGTATTTCATATACCTGTAAATAACGGACAAGCTTACAGACAATTCTTCCACCATAAAAGTCCACCGTCATCCTCCAGATAACATCTGCCAAAACCTGGACCAAACCCACGGACAAGTCTAATAAAGATTCGGAGATCTGATATATGAACTTTAAAATTTACAGCATGAAATAATAATCATTTTTATATGACCTAAACACGATGAAAACACTAAATTCGGAATCAATAACAGTTCAATCTAATCCACATATGAATGGAAAACTCAAGCCATCAGGAAATAGTATTTCTTGTTTTAATTAATATATTTGACATATTATTATTCACTCTTTTTGTTTTTTTACTTTGACGAAGAAGTTCTTAAATAATTCCTTCTTTACGCTTAAAAGGTAATTAGTATTTCCCCTTACAACCGTAAAGTTTGAAGAAGTTGCACGGTAATGTAATAAACTTGCTGACATAACCTGCAAATAGACTGATGACAATAGTTGTCCAAGAAAAATTAAGGTATTTATTTATTTGCGAACTATTTTTAAACAGACTACTGTGTCTGAATACATGGAAACGACCATCACTCAGTGGGTACAGCAGTAAGTTTGTGGACCTACAACGCTAACATCTGAGGTATGTCTCCCTTCGATGGACAAAGCGTAGACAGTCTACTGTATAGCTTTGCCCTTAAAGGACAACATATCAGCACTCTAATGACTTAGAAAGTTAACTGCAATTTATTTATCTTTAAACACGGACTAAAATTTGGGTCTCTGTTAACAAATGTTGTACTGCCTTTTCCTTTTTAAGATGCTCTTTACAACTGTAGGAAATCAGGAACGATTACATGGTGTTCAAAACTTGTTAGTGGAATGTTGTTAAGAAATGTCAGGAACGATTACGTGGAGTTCAAAACTTGTTAGTGGAATGTTGTTAAGAAATGTCAGGAACGATTACATGGAGTTCAAAACTTGTTAGTGGAATGTGGTTAAGAAATGTCAGGAACGATTACATGGAGATCAAAACTTGTTAGTGGAATGTTGTTAAGAAATATCAGGAACGATTACATGGAGTTCAAAACTTGTTAGTGGAATGTTGTTAAGAAATATCAGGAACGATTACATGTAGTTCAAAACTTGTTAGTGGAATGTTGTTAAGAAATGTCAGGAACGATTACATGGAGTTCAAAACTTGTTAGTGGAATGTTGTTAAGAAATGTCAGGAACGATTACATGGAGTTCAAACTTGTTAGTGGAATGTTCTTAAGAAATGTCAGGAACGATTACATGGAGTTCAAAACTTGTTAGTGGAATGTTCTTAAGAAATGTCGTCATCTTGATACCAGAATTGTTTAAGAGCTTGTGTAAAATCTATTGCGTTCCTACATTAAATGTTTTTTTTACTCGTAAAATAAAAAAAATACATGTTGAGTATTAATCACATGAAACTCAGTAGTAATCAGCTTTTAAGTTAATCATAAATCAATCTTCTATGTACATCTTATTAAATATAATCCCAACTCAACTTTTGTTAAATGCTTTTCAATAGAATAAGATGCGAAAAAAATTACACAATAGTATTCAATGTCTTTTTTTTTCTCACTAAGATAACTTAAGCAAAATAAAGAACGAACCACATCAATCCACTTTCATGTCTAACTACAACGTGATGCATCGTTAACTTAATAAGACTGAAGTTGTTCGAAACTTCAGTTTTTGGCAGTCAAGCATTTTGATTTGTTACCTAACATGGGATGGTAAATTTTCACACGTTAATTCACTTCTGTTCAGCTATCGCTTAATCACAAGCAGAAACGGATCTTTAATCATATACTAAACCCTGCGTCAACGCTAGATTTAAATGCAAGCTAGCTGTGGATGCAAAGTAAAAAGTGGAGCTTACCTGCAAGAGCTAGGTGCATTATGAAGAAGTTCATCCGGGACTTTCTATTTTTCGACATCAACAATGTCACCAGGACAGAACTGTTACCAACGACAATCATCGTAAAAATAACCCACATAAAGGTGATTTGTTCCGTCTGAAGAAATGAAAACATGTGATTTCAGTTAATCTTTTATTTCCTGTAACAAAACCAGAGTGAAAAGAATTGTCATTGGCATAAGGTTTTATCAAAATTAGTGAATGTTTATGTTGAAAACATAGTTTATGTATTGCCCTTTTTATGTTATTAATGGCTTGTGGAGTAGTCCTTTTTCGTGATATTTTAAGTTTTATGCATTAAGTAAAGTGGTATTCAAATTGAATCAAACTTAGGTTGCTGAAGAAATTTCTATATATTTTAGTAAATATATGTGTGCGTGTGTGTGTGTGTGTGCATAAGTATATACAGTCATCAAATCTCTGGTTCTGGAATTTATGGGATGTTAAATCTTTTACTAAAAGTAGTGTGTTATAATGCACAGTTAAAGCAATAAACCTAGACTCGAGTATATTTGGTTATCTGCAAGAACATGTTAGCTCAGAAATAAGGAAGCTAGCGCAGATAGCCTTTATTTAGCTATGTGTGAAATATTCAAACAAGCAACCCTTAAACACCTGAACCAGTTGCTTTAATACGGTAGATTAGAGGGAAAGACGACAATTAAAAACAAACACAGCCAATTCTGGGCTCCTTTTTTTCTGACCGAATTAGACAGTCAATTTTTTAAACAGCCATAGCTCCAAAATGAGGAGGGCGTCTTTTGCAGCAGATTTATCTTATACGCGTTGAACACAACAGATTGTAATCAAATAATAATATCTAAAGATAAAAAAGAAATACATTTTTACAAAACGATTTTATCACCACGGGTAATTAAACCAGGTTTTAGCGATACACACCATCAGACTTACCGCTGAGCCACTGGGAGGCATGGGGAATAGAATCCTGGATTTTACCATAAGAATATATTTTTGTTTCTAGTGTATGCCAGATTAAAGTTTACCACAACAATTAAGTAAATAGTATCTACTAATACGATGACTTACCACAACAATTAACAAGATAGCATCTACTAATACGATGACTTACCACTACAATTAACAGATAACATCTACTAATACGATGACTTACCACAACAATTAACAAGATAGCATCTACTAATACGATGACTTACCATAACAATTAACTAGATAACATCTACTAATACGATGACTTACCACAACAATTAACAAGATATCAACTAATACGATGACTTACCACAACAATTAACAAGATAGCATCTACTAATAAGATGACTTACCACAATAATTAACTAGATAACATCTACTAATACGATGACTTACCACTACAATTAACAGGATAGTATCTACTAATACGATGACTTACCACAACAATTCACTAGATAACATCTACTAATAAGATGACTTATCACAACAATTAACAAGATAGCATCTACTAAAACGATGACTTACCACAACAATCAACTAGATAACATCTACTAATACGATGACTTACCACAACAATTCACTAGATAACATCTACTAATAAGATGACTTACCACAACAATCCACTAGATAACATCTACTAATAAGATGACTTACCACAACAATTAACTAGATAACATCCACTAATAAGATGACTTACCACAACAATTCACTAGATAACATCTACTAATAAGATGACTTACCACAACAATTCACTAGATAACACCTACTAATAAGATGACTTACCACAATAATTAACTAGATAACATCTACTAATACGATGACTTACCACAACAATTAACTAGATAACATCTACTAATAACTTTGTTTTCTTGTTTCTTCTTTTTTAAACGCAAACTTTGAAAATGGGTTATCTGCGTTTTGTTACCGCGGGTATCAAACTCCAATCTTTTCTCTACAAACCCACAAACTTACAGCTAAACCATCTGTTTATCAAACATAAATGATATTTTTGAAGTTTTTACGTGATACTGAATGCAAGAGACTTTGAAATTCTCTAGTTATCTTTATTTGCAAAACAAGTCATCTTATTAGTAGATTTTATCTAGTGAATTGTTGTGGTAAGTCATCTTATTAGTAGATGTTATCTAGTTAATTGTTGTGGTAAGTCATCGTATTAGTAGATGTTATCTAGTTAACTGTTGTGGTAATTCAACTTATTAGTAGATGTTATCTAGTTAATTGTTGTGGTAATTCAACTTATTAGCAGATGTTATCTAGTGAATTGTTATGGTAAGTCATCTTATTAGTAGATGTTATCTAGTGAATTGTTGTGGTAAGTCATCACAAATCGTATAATTTTAAGTTATGTACACTTAACAGAATAAAGGGGGCATGTAATTATGTCCAAATGTTTTTTGTTGTTGTTTTTTACATACATGTTAATTTAGTTGAAACGGAAAATCTAATCCATGAGAATCACATAATAAGTTTAATAAATTATGAAATAACTAGTTTGACTTATATAATAACAAAATACAAGTCTTTGAAAAAGTGAAGGGATTGCTTGCGTTGTAGAAAGTAATTTGGAGTTTCAAAAGCCGAGTAAGCTATTTTGAATTACGTTGACTCATGCGTTTCTCTATAAAAGTTTTGTAAATGAGTAATAACTAACATACTGTTGTGAAATTTATCTTCTAATACAGATGTATTTCAATGTAAAAAACAAAATAAGATATGATTAATAGGATGTAAACAGTTTTACAAGAGGAGTCGATAAATATAGGTATTGAATATTTCTTATGACACTCGTTTAATTAATTAACTAATTGATGCAAAGTAATTTCAAAGACAGCTATCTAAACTTAAATCACAAATTGTTTTCGGTATTTTGATAGTTAGCACAATTCCTCTCTATAAATTTAGCTAAAAATAGCAATTATCATACATCGATAGAACGTGGATAGCAATATTTTTTATTTTTTTACGATCTTCTGAGCTGAAAAGTTATTCCTGAGCTACAGAGAAAAAAGTCACTTTACGGTGTGGAAGTTTTTGGTAGAGAATTTAGACGACAAGAATAGCTGTTTCTAAATAAATAAACTGTTAGACCAGCTTCCTAATAGTGATTCATAATATATAAATTATTGAATATGAATATTACATGGTGAGGCTTGAGCTGGAAGAGAAGTACTTGGAGTAGACTTGATGGAAGAAAGTTTTTTATGTAATGAAAGACAAATTATTAACCACACGTTAGCATGAATAATGTAAGATTTTATATTTTTCTAGCGATATGTAGATAAAATAGGCATGGGCTATCACATACATGTTTTGCTGAGAAACATGTAAACTTGAGCAGCTTGAGTTTCAAATATATCGTTAGCAACACGTAAACATGGGAAACGTAAATTTTACTATACACGTATTATTCAGAAACACGATAACATGTGCAGTCTAAGTTTCAAAATATTGCTGGCAACACGTAAACATGAAAAATCTGAACTGCTAAATATCGTTAGAAACACGTAAACATAATCAATGTTACTTTTAATAATTGTTAAAGGTTCTCCTGAAAGTTGTTTCTCTTGGATAAAACTTGTTTTTACTAATCTTCTGGTTTATTGATCAAAATACTGAAAATACATATAAGTTTGTTTCATTTTAGCTTGTGTCAAATGAGCTTTGATTCTCAATTTCAAGCAGTAAAACGTTTCTTATTAGACGTTCCTAAAAAATGTTATCTCTACATTCTCCATGCACTACTTTCTGTTCGCCGCCGTGTCAACTCAATTTCAAGTAGTAAAATGTTTCTTATTAGACGTTCTCAAAGAATGTTATTTCTACATTCACCATGCACTACTTTCTGTTCGCCGTGTCAACTCAGCTTCCAGCAGTAAAACGTTATTAAAGTTTTATTACATATTAAAACTTATTTTCACTTGTTGTAGAAGGTATTACTTCGAATTATTGCAATTTCAGTATTTATATAATAGTTATCTTTTTAACACATTTTTGTTGTATGGTTTAACGCATAAATTCTAGAAACCGAACACATATGATGTATTACTTTTGTGCTTTACTCTTGATGTTCATATTAATTAATGCACTATTGTAGTATACTCCATCTTTTCCTTGTGTGCCATGTTATAGGTTACCATAATGCACATGAGCGACACTTACAGCCTATTTTTTACGTTTATTATTCTTTAGAGGAATAGCAGGTGTTTCGACATTCGTTCAGGTTATTGCGTGATTTAAGATATATTACACCGAAATATCCCATCTAGTTACAGAGAGGAAACAACGCAGGGCAAGGCATTTTCTATAAGATTAAAACAAATCACCAGACTTATAACTAGCAGGACAACCATTGTCATCAGGCTCGTAGTTTTCATTTCCTTCCAGTCATCATCACATTAATTCCCCAGTGTCGCGGTATTAATATTCCTTGAATGATAAGCTTCTGTAGAGAAACCATTGTCTAAATCACGTGCTTGTTTTGTCCTCAGAAATGGTATTGTTTCTGTCAGTCACATGTTGACATATTAATGATTCTGAATTTTATATGTTACACAGTTTACGTTTTGGCATGCAAATAAAGGAAAACTTTTAAGGAAAGGTTGAGCTATTTCCATTTCTGATCAATCTTTTCACTTATTAACCGTACTCATCTACTAAAGAAGCAAGAATTGTCATTTTAAACTTTAGAAAAGTGCTTTATGGAATTTATCGTAACTGATTTAATATTTCAAAACAAAGCATGCTAATGACGTCATTAGGAATATTTGCAAATTATGTAAGTTTTTAATATCATTGCCATTATTACGATTTTTACAAGTGTTGAAAGTTACTAGCGGTATTATTAGAATTATTTGCATATCATGTAAACTTTCAATGTCATTAACATTATTCCAGTTTTTACAAGTGTTGAAAATTACTAGTGGTATCATAGAATTATCTAAAAATCGTGTAAGATTTTAATATCGTTAAGATTATAACCATTTTTTACAAGTGTTGAAAGCTACTAGTGGAATAAATAGGATTATTTTTAAAAAGAATTACAATATTTTAGTATCATTATTAAGGCTACGTTCAGACATGCTTAACATTCTACCAATATTCTTAAGATTACTTATAAATTTCCATAAG